AACTTGCCTTTTTGTGGCCCTAATCAGGTTGACAGTTTTTTCTGTGACCTGCCTCTAGTGACCAAGCTAGCCTGTAGAGACACTTATGTGATCAGCTTACTAATAGTTGCAGACAGTGGCTTTCTTTCATTGAGCTCCTTTCTCCTTTTGGTGGTGTCCTACACTGTGATTCTTATTACAGTCAGGAGCCGCTCCTCTGCTAGCATGGCCAAGGCCCGCTCCACGCTGACTGCTCACATCACTGTGGTCATACTCTTTTTTGGACCCTGCATTTTTATCTATGTGTGGCCCTTCAGCAGTTACTCAGTTGACAAGGTGCTTGCTGTGTTCTACACCATCTTTACTCCTATCCTAAACCCTGTTATTTACACTCTGAGGAACAAAGAGGTGAAGGCAGCTATGTCCAAGCTGAAGAGTCGGTATCTGAAGCCTGGCCAGTTTTCTGTAGTGATAAGAAATGCTCTTTTCCTACAATCAAAGTAAACTTTCAGGATTGTTAATTTTTTAGCCTTTTATGTAGATATTTATACTGAAATTTCTGTGATGTAAAAGTAAATCATTTTAACCTGTAGAGCTGATTAATTTAAATTATAGTTTAATCATGATAATAAAAATATAATAAATTTTTATCAAATTTAATCTTCTTTCTGTTGTGTCTTTAGTTCTTCATTGACTTTCTTTTACTCATATTTTAAAATTTGAAATGGTTTTTAAGTAAAGTGTTATTGGTTTTCGAGACAATAATAAGATTTACTAAAAATACTTTGAGCCTTTTATAGGTGAAACATGAATTGTTCATATTTTAATCAATAGAGTGATTTTTACTTTGTGTGCAGAAGGGAGTACATTTTCTAAAACAGATTTATTTTTTTAATTGGAACAACAGTGATGAGTAGCTACTGTCTTTCTGAGCTATGTTGTCCTCCTCTTCTTTCTGTCATCATATACTTGTGAATGCATCTGTATTATAGGTATTGGGGTCACTCATAGGATGGTTAGTTCAGAGGATCCCTGAATCAAGTCCGTTGTTCAGTAAAAAAGATTCCTTGCCTTTTGCTAATGGAATGCTCGATGTATAGGAGATAATTCAATTAAATGGAGATATTTTTGAAAAAATAAGACATGATCAAGAAGGAGATGAGGAACAATGTTAATGGTTATTGTTCTAGAGGAAAGCCCCACATCTTATAGAAGAGCACATTTACTGTTTGAAAAGCAGATTCTAAGAGGCTACAGAGTTGTTTGCACTCAAGATGAGCTGTGTTCATCTTGAATATCTTTGGATAATAACTAAAACTGAATGAATGAATAAGTAGATAAATAAAGAGGCCCTCTAGTATGCATAATTTTCATGAAAAACTAAAATTGAGCAAGAAAAGAGTATGGCAGAAATTGAATGAATTCACTGGAGTGTCTTGAAGGGTCTTTTGGTGTAACTGTGTCCTGTGAAATAGAAAACAATTGGTTTCAATAATTTGAACTGACCATACCTCAATAACAAAAGTTTGAGCTACTCAACCATGTAATCAACCAAGATAAACCAAATGACTGAACTAGGATGAAGAAATATCTAACATGAATGTTGAAAGAAGGAGGGAATCAATTTGAATTATGACTTTAATTAGTTGCAGACTTGTATTATAATTTATTCCAGAAACACTCTTGTGATAAGTTTTTTAAATTTATACAATCACTTATACAAGACTTAATGACAGAGTAGACTTATTCTAAGCACAAGGGTATCTTAACAATGCAAGAGGTAGCAAATATTTTTTCTACATTCCACTATACCTCTTGCTTTACCTGTTTTCAATATAGTAGACAGATCTTTGCAGGTAGCCAGTGTTCTCCATCAAGGACTATGGTTCACTTTACTAAATGCTTATTCTAAACCCAGGAAATTCTGCTTATTACAAAGAAGCAGTCAAAACTGGGAAGATTTACACTCTTATAGAAAACCCTGAATTAGATGGTATTGGCATATAGTGGGTCAATATTTCAGAGTCTTATGGGGCACACATACATGATTCATTAAAGAATATTCTAGGAACAGTGAATCTCAGTTCTGGTGGTAACCAGATCATTCAAAAACTGTTTATAGGATTTCATCTTTTATATTGCAGTTTATCAACTCCCTCAGTTTCTATTATTCAGATGCTGTCCTCAATACACTATTTTCTCAAATCAAACACCTTCTCAAACACATTATCCCAGATGCAGTTCAAGACTATTTCAGGTGATTTTGCTATTAGAGGAAACCTTTCTAGAGCATTTGTTTTATAATTAAGGTTCACATTTTTATTTTTGCTAAATTTCAAAATTTTATTAGATAGTATTTTTATTATTATTAATGTTATAGTATTTACAAATTTCCATTTCTACTTGTTTTCTTTGTCCTTTAAAATGTACTTTTATTCTTTTTTCCTTGTTCATGAGGATTTTCCAGATATTTTATTTATTTAGTTGTATTTCAAGCATAAGACTATTAGGATCACAGAACAAACTCTAATTTCTGGCAGTGTAAAATGTATACCCACAAGTCTATTATTCTTCTTTACCTATCCAAGGGTGTTTGTATGAGGTTCAACATGAGTTAATAATGATGTCTCTGACTAATCTAGTACCATGTCTTTATTTTACATGTCCTTTTTTTGTGAATCTGTAATTTTCCTGAAGAGCAGTGAAAATTCTGACTTCTACACTTTGTCATCTATTTACGTATTTTTCTAATTGCAGCATTCATGAAAATAGCTTCACAGTGGTACAACTCCAAATGCACAAATTTGTCAACCTTTACAAAATGTTATTGTACACGTAAACTTCACCTTTCCAATTAAATCAGAATTCTTCAGTTATATGGGGCAGCTGCTTCCCACCACCCTCACATATTTCAGTGCAGTTATATGTATCTTTATCCAAAGTATATGTATGAAGACATGAATTGGGTGTCAACATACTTTATATACTGAGATATAAAAATTGTGGTATGCATGT